AACCCTAAACCAGGTCGCCGGCGATTAAAGCATCACCAGGTCGCCGGCCTCGCCTCGTCGCCTCCTTCTCGTCGTCGGCTCTAAACCCTAAACCAGGTCGCCGGCGATTAAAGCATCACCAGGTCGCCGGCGATTAAAGCATCACCAGGTCGCCGGCGATTAAAGGTTCTTAACCAGCAAGATCGGATGCGATAGCCGTCAACGATGCGAACGAAACCAGCAAGAACGTCGTCTGTGGAAGTCTTGCCGGCAACGATGATGAGATGGATGCGATGAGAAACCAGGGTTAAWAGGGTAATCTGTCAAATAAGTCAAGAGGGTTTAACTTATCAAAAACGACTTATTACCGGTTTGGTACCGGTATAAGCACTTTTTTTATTTTTTATCCAAACACTCCAAAATGACTTATTACCGGTTTGGCACCGGTATAAGTCAATAAGTCCGTTTGAAACGCTTTCCCAAACACCCCCTAAGACCTAGTCTTAATTACATGCTTGGACCCACATCAAGTAGTTTGACTTGTCAAAGAGTTCAATCAAAGAAACTTCATGATATAATACTTATTCTACAATCGAAATATTGTAATTAAAAAAAGACTAAACCACTTGAGTATATTTGGTTAGAGTCGTTTCTGTTTTAAAATATATGCTACTGCATGAGAAGCTTCCAAACTGGGTTTAATTTAGATGATTAATTTTTGTTTAATTTCTAATTTGGTTATTGAAGTTTTAAAATTTATCAATAAATACATAAACTTTTCAAAAAGTTTCATATAAATAATATTTTTTAAATATATAATATTTATATACGATAAAATATAACAAATAAACATTACACACCATCCTCACTTTTGGTGAAGTTTGAATCTCTAACTTAGTAGAAGGTCAAAGACTCACATACCGTTAGAACAAATTTTTTCTATAAAATAATAACTTATGTTGTCATTTTACTGTTTCTAATAAAAGGAAAACACTGTAGTCGATTAATATTGTTTTTTAAAGCTAAATTTAAAGAATTATAATCTAGAAAATGTTTATATTAGTATACAATTTCAACCGACCATAAATAATATTTGATGTATTTGAAGTGCATCTATCAAAATATAAAAATTAAATATAGATTTGGTCCTTATGGTTTGCATGAATTAATGAGTAAGATCTTTTACAAAAATTATTAATGAGGAATGTCCCTATAATTTTATTTTTATAACGAATATGATCCTTTATCGAACTTCTTTGGTTAAGTTTTCGTTAATGAGGGGCAATTTTGTCTATTCACTCTCCTATGTGTCAACTTAAAATTTCAATAATGAATTGGTCACGCAAACTATTTTCCATTTTCTAGCATATTTGTCCCTCAAACTAATCTACATTATAATAGACTAGAAAAGTACTCGTGAGATGCAGCGAGATACATCTTGATTTTAACATTTTCTTTTATTCTTTATCTCAGTCGATGTTATAATATGGTCTTGTGTGATTTTAAAAAAAAAACAATAATGTTCTTATTTTTGAATAAAACATAAATTTGAAGATATTATAAAAATTTGACAAACGAAGTAATTTATATTTGGTTTAATAATATAATCTTTTATAAATATAATAATTAACTATTTTGTTGGAACTCAATAATTATCGTAGTTATATTTTAGATTTTTTATATTTTAAAATGATATGTTTATTCTATATTTCATTATTTTTATTCGCAGTTAGTTACACGAATTCAAACAATGAGCTTTAATAAGTTAAACTTACGCACAATTTACTTGGTTGAATTTTAAGTAATATGCATCAATAAACAATAATTCATGCATAAAAAATAGTTTTTAAGAGTTCTTGTTAAATATTTTATAATACAATATAGATTTGGTTCCTCAAACTATTTTTTATTTTTATAACAAATTTGAGTCCTCCCCAACTTTCATTTTTAAGATTTGGTCCCTTCTTTAATCAATAAAATTTGATGGCACAAACATATATTTTCGAATTAACAAAGTAATTAAATAAATTTTGAAATTTAGATTTTGCCATAAATATTTTGATAAATATTTTGTTTTAAATAGTTGAAAATTAAAAAAAATTCTAAAACTAAATACCTGATAATATATTAAATAATAAGATATAAAAACATAAGTTCAAGTAATTTAATAAATACTAATTAATATACTAAAAATATATATTATAATTAAATAAGATATAAAAATATAAAGTTAACTATTATATACAATAAACATGATATCATTTAGCATTAACCGGTTGAAAATTATCAATGTTATTATTATGTATTAAATGGAGAGACCAAATCATAAAAATGAAAATTGAGTGAAGAACCGAATCTATTATAAAAAAATAAAAAATAGTTTGAGGGACCAAATCTGCAATAATAATGATAAGTAGTTTGCGAGATCAAATCTGTTATTGAAAATGAAAATTGAGAGAGAGGAAGGTGAATAGACAAAATTGCTCCTCACTAACGGAAACTTAACTAAAGGTGTTAGAGGAGGGACCATATTCGTTATAAAAATGAAACTATGGGGATGTCTCTCGTTAATAATTCTTTTAAATGACCTTAGGGCTGTTTACCAAACACTTACCCGGTAAGTGCTTATATGTAAAATTTAACACTATCATTGACTTATCTGATAAGATTTTAGTCCACCAAAACGATATCGTATGCAACAATTTACTCGGTAAGCACTTATCGTGGTAAGAATCGTCGTCTTTACTTACCGGGTAACACTCTTGGTCCTTGGTTCACTTTTACCGGGTAAGATTCTTGGTCCTTACCATATTCATCCAATATGATAATATGACTTGATATTTACTTACCCAAGTAAGCGTTTGGTAAACGGCCCCTTACTCGTTAATTTATGTAAACCATAGAGATCAAAGTTGTAATTAACTCAAATTATAAACCATAAACCATAAAATACAACTCCTGAATCTTTCCAAGGAATTGTTATTAGTTGCCCGAAAAGAAGAACAACCAAATTGATTTATATTAATTTAAATAATTTTAATATTCAATAACTACTGGTTAATCACTTCTAAGCAATGTTCAAAAAAACTCACCACAACAACTGCCATGGTGTGTCATAGCTTAAGACTTATGTCTTACGTCACGTTATGTCTGTAGCAATCCATGACCTAATGCACGGTTTATATAACGTAATATTTGATTTTTCTTACATTTTTAATGTGTTATTTGTCAGTTTCTAATGTATAACCTAATTTAAATTATTTAATATCATTGACTCACTGAGTCATAGTATGAAATATATGTTTATATGTATAATAATTTATATGATAATAAGATTTGTCATCATTATTCACGTCTTGAAAAACGTCAATATTTCTGGTGCATAGAGCCGCTGGAAAATGAGGCGTCGATGATTTTTTTTCGGCGGATTTACCAACAGATTTTTTGTTTTTCCGTGCAAAATGGCCGCCGGAAATTTTTCCCCAATTTATTTAAAAAACTTGATTAAATTAAAAAATTATTAATAAGATTTAAAAAAATTGAATTATTTTACTGACGAATATATCCGGCAGAAATTTAATTTAGTTTTTTAAATAATTAATTCTATTCTTTATCGATGAATTGCATTTTTTACTTCTTTTGCAAGTTTAGATTTAATTATTCAGAGTACCACTCCATAATTGAACCATTTAATTAAACGTAATAACTAAATTCTAATTATATCATATTATGGTTTTGGTCCTTGTGTTTCGGTTTTTTTATTTTTAGTTCCTATAGTTTCTAATATTGTAAATTTGACACTATGGGATGCACTTTGCTTGGTTTTAATCCCGACCCTAACAGAGGTTACGTTTTATCCGTTAATTCTCCCATGTGGCTTTCACATGGGGTAAGAATGTCCTTTAAAAAAAAAAGTAGAAATAGGGCCAAATAGAGGATCCCGAGCCCATCTCTCTTTGGAGCATAAATTCTCAAATGACAGCAAGGCTAAGCATGTTTTCTCAAATCATAAGTGATTGTAGGCATATATCTCAAATGATGACTGGGCATAGTAATTCAAAATAGGAAGAACCTGGGCATAATTTTCAAATGAAGCTCATCAAAAACATATGTTCCAAATGACGTATTAATTAGTGGGGGAGTCGGTTTTTAAGAGTTTTTAGGATTATTACGAGGGGAAAACGACCATTCAATGGGGGTCAACTTCAAGCAATGAATTGGAGAGAGTAGAGGACAGATCGGAAGCATTCTTCATAAATTTCTTTTCACTTTTAGTAATTTATTTCCCGTTTTCAGTTGGAATCTCAACTTAGGGGTCGTTTACCAAACATTTACCCAAAAAATTCAACACTATCACTTATTTAACGAGTAAGATTTTAGTCAATAAAAACGGTACCGTCTGCAACAATTTACCTGGTAAGCGCTAACTGTGGTAAGAGTGTTCGCCCTCACTTACCGGATAAAACTTTTGATCATTGTCTCGCTCTTACCGGGTTAGATTTATGGTCCTTTCCATGTTCATCCAATAAAGTAACGTAACTTGGTAAGCGCTTGTTCGGATAAGCGTTCGGTAAACAACCCCTTAGCCATTTGTGGATAAGTTTTCCTATTCCAACAACGGTTTTTCTTTGAAATTTCATTGTAATGTTGTGGAACAAGGCTATTTGCTTGAATTTCATTTCAATGTCCATTAATTTCGTTGAATCGTTAGTTAACCTGATCAATTAGTTAGTATTCTTATAAATGTTTGTTAATTGAAACCCCTAAGATCCATAAATGTTTAGGGATTTTTGATAAAGTGACAAATGAAATCGTTTGGTCTCCATAAAGTTTACAATTCGAACCAAAGGGCTTTTGACCTAGCGGTATCGTAGCCTTTGACCTTCTAGGAGGTCAGGGGTTCAAACCTCACCATAGATGATGAGGGTGTGTGAGTTTATTTGTTGCATTTGCCGTATATAAATATTATATACTTAAAAAAAAAGTTTACAATTCGATTTCTTGAATGCTTTGCAATCAAAGCTCTAATAATCCTAACGGTAAGCGCTCATCGAGTAAGCATTTAGGTAAATGGCCTCTTAATATTTATATTATTAATTAATGGAAATGGGGTCTACAAAGAGGAGAAAGGATTGGTTGTCTTCAAGGACCTTTCTCACTCCGAACTGATCATTATATCTTCTAAAGCATGCTTGTCCTTTTACAGATATATTATATTTGACAAGTTATTGCCTGTCAAATAAGCCAGCTTTAATTTGATTAGATTTAATCAGATTAAATTCCACTAAACCAGATATAATAGTTAAACTCTTTAATTATTTATTATTCTTATTTAGATATACAAGTTCATGCGTGTAACTCATTAGGGTTTTATCACGTTGGCAATTATTATAAATCCTATTTATGATTATAAACGAAGAGTGACATCTAACAATACATCATCGTTATCCAAATGATAAAGTTTGATAATTCAACTAATCAACAAATTGTGTGATTATTATCAGTATACACATTTATGTCTCTCTGTCCTAGATATCCATATTGAACATGAGATAAATGTGTCATCCTTGTTATGTTTGATATTTAGTTTCTCGATTTGAAATACATTGATAAGACAAAAATCAATATTTCATATTGACTATCTGAGCATGCATGCAATTCTTCGCCACTATTCAATCGAGGGACCTAGGGATATCACTCTTGTCATCCAAGAGAAACAAATCTCGTCTTCTTCTATCCTAGTACTACTAAGTGATACGTGACATACACCACAACCATTATACCACCTAGTTGAAATGATTAAAATCAGTTACCAAAGTACACCACTCACACAGAGCAAACTCCATGATCTCAAGTCAAATGACTATATGTATAATGACCACATTAGAAACGTTTATGCCACTCATATGACATTCAATGAAACATTATCGTAGCGAGTCACGTTCGGTACACAAGATCCCATGTTGTACCCATATGTGGATTATATATCCCATATATATGAATCCATACATATTCTAGTCGTACCATATTAATTCAAGCTAAACCCGAATTAATATTTGATTAAGGACATTTTAGAATATAATATTCTAATGTTATTGTTACGTTTATTATATTATATAGAATAATACATAAACATAATAATTAGACGCACTATTAGAAAACAGACTATCACTAATGTATATTACCGACAACCAAAATCCGTCGGTACATTCAAAATTTATCAATTACAAAAATAAATATAAATCATCTGTCAGTAATTATTGATGGGTTTTCGATTGATTGATTAAATAAAAATTAAAATTAAATAATCCGTCGGTAATTACCGAATTTTTATTTAATTTTTTTAGAACTTAAAAATTAAAGAAATAAAAATAAAATAATCCAGTGAGTAATATGTATAGTTTGCCACTCCCTTCTCTATCTACTATATATGTATAGTTTTTAGATATATGTATATATATTCTTTTAAATTTATTTAAAAAAATCAAAATCACCGACGGATTACTGCCGTCAGTAGTCACTGATAAGATCCGTCGGTATTACCGCCGTCGGTAATCCGTCGGAGATGAAAAATCTTGAAATGGTTTAAGAGGAAAGAAAAAGCAAAGAGCGAGTCATATTTAATGCAGAAATGGTGGAAGGAAGCTTCCCCTTAGTTATGGCGTTGACGTGTCATCATCTACAGCCCTTCAACCTCCCTTCCTGTAGTTTATCCATCTATAAATACTCCCCTCACTTCATTCACATTCTTTCTCATCCTTCTCTAAATCTTCTTACTCTCCAATTTTTATTTCATCATCATCATCATCATCTTCATATTCATATATATATAGATATGGCCAAGGTACAAATCTCTTCACCTACTTATCCAATTCGTCTCCGTTCTGCATTTTATTTGAATCTGGTGGTTGTAAATTGTTTTTGCAGCAAAATATTGTTGTCAAGGTGGCCATGTTCGATCACAAGAAAACTCGTAAGGCTCTCAAGATCGTCGTTGGTGTCTCCGGTAAGATATTCAGAATAAGAAAATTCCGATTCCATGGAGAGATCTTTATCGAATTTGACTTCATCACTGAATGTTCATCGATCTGGATTGGTTGAATTAGTTTATTGAACTAAATCATAATCTGAAATTAATTGACAAACAGGTGTGGAATCAGCGGCTTTGATCGGATCAGATAAAAATCAAATCAAAGTGACTGGGGAAGGAATCGACTCAGTCGAACTCGCGACGCTGCTAAGGAAAGGCGTAGGATGCACAGAGCTGGTGAGTGTTGGTCCGGTGGAGGAGAAGAAACCCGCTGTCACCGCTGCTGCTGCCGCCAGTCAAACGCCGGCTACGGTGGTGCCACTGCAAGTTTATCCTCACCATTATAGCTGCTATGGAGGGCCGTACTACCATGTCTACGAAAGTTGCAGCAACGACGATCCCTCTTGTACCATTATGTAAAATTGCACCAACTGAAAAGCACAACAATTATACTTTCATTTGTTTTACGAGGCGTTCCAATGGCTTTTGCGCCATCGTAAAGGGTTGAACTTTTCAACCAAGTGGGTTGTCGTTTTGATAAAGCCATGACGGACGTTTTTATCAATTTAGAGGTACTAGAACGAAACTCGTACAATGTAGTGAGATAAATTTCGATTTTAATGTTTAGTTTTATTTTTTGTTTCTATCGATATAATACAATTTTATGTGTTTTTAAGAAATCAATAATATTTTATTTTTGAATTAAATATAAATTTGAAGATAACATAAAATTTTTAAAAAAAATCTATATTTAGTATCAAATTAACTATTTAATAATTCTCGTTTTTTTGGTGTAAGTTCTTTAATTCAATTTTTATTATAATTCAATTTAGATTTAATAACAAAGTAATTTATTTTTGGTTTAATAATATAATTCTTTTATAAAGATAATATTTAAACATTCTGTTAGAACTCAATGATTATCTTAATTATATTTTAGATTTTCTATGTTTAAAATGGATGTTTAATCATGTATTTGATTATGTTTATTTGCAGTTAGTTATACAAATTTAAAAATAGAGATTTAATAAGTTGTACTTACGCAAAATTACTTGTACTCTTGAATTTTAAGTAATATACATCAATAAACAGTACTTCATGCATAAAAAACAGTTTTTAAAAGTTTTTATCAAATGTTTTATAACATAATATAGGTTCCATGATTAAGTATGCTTTACTTTTGCACAACTTAATTTTTATTATAAAAATGTATGAGAAAACGAATGTCATCCGACGAAACCTTTAACGACCAAAACGATCACACTTTCTTCAATATAACAATTTATTAAATTCAGGAAAAAATGAAAATTAAATTTTATATTATCTTTCCAACAGATATCCCTGAAAAGAGTGAAAGGCGAATTCCATTGAAAATCTTTCGGATTACGTAAATTTCAAAAGATAGAAATTATTGAAAACCACCGGAACTTAGATCTGCCTATTTGTCGAAAAACTGTTGAATATTACCCCTCGAAATTAATTGGCATTGATAACATGTTGGGACATGCGGTTGGAAGTTCAATGCACGAAAGTAATGAATAATATCTTAAATAGTGATGTAGTTCAAACTTGAAGAGCATAATAAAATCTTAGCATTGTTTAGCATAACACGCCAGATATAATCCTTGTCCTTTGTTGCATACTGCTTCGATTGATGTTGAGGTACATATTAACAGTCGACTCTGACTTAATAAGTTTATAGTTTAACAATTTATAGTAAATTAACAAACAGTTTATATAAGCGCAAGATATCTTGGATGACATGCATACTTACTAAAGAACAGATGATTTGAACATATGCAACATCCACAAGTAACATATTGGCATTTGCACACACTTAAGCATGGTCACCATCATGTTTATGGCCGTATCTTTGTTAAACATGGAAGTCTGGGTCAATTTGCGCCCATCTTGACAAATTTCACGAGGTCTGGAGAAAAGGACAAGGACCAATGACCTTTAGGAATGAACGTCAAATATTTTCAAGTCTTGTTATTAATGAACTGATCCAAGGTTTTTTTGCACTTCTCTATTCGATCCACGAATCCCCTCTTGCTTTGAGTCGTTGCTAGAAACATGAGAAGGGCTCTTTTGATTTGACATATAACTTTCATGTGGATTCGGTTGTTTGTATGGATTTTATAAAGGGTTTCAGAGTTTTCTTTTCTTTATTTGAGGAAAGTTATGAAATCTATTCAGAAAAAAACAAAAAAAAGTTTAAATCTATATTTTTATTAAGGGAAAATTGCATCAAAATGGAACCAACTTTCACCTGATTCCTATTTTGGAGAACCAATTTTTAAAATTGTCATTTAGGGGTCTCTATCAAACTTTTTGTTTATTTAAGGGTCTGGTTGACCTGTTAATACTGACATCATCCAGATCTTTTGCCAACTAAGATATTCCACGTCATATTAATTTTTTTAAACTAATATTCCACGTTATATTAATTTTTTATTTTAAAACTAATATTCCATTTCATATTTAAAATTATAAAATAATTATAGAAAAATAACTAAAATTCATTTTTTTTAAATTATGGTAATAAAATCTATTTTTTATTCCAAATCTCGTTTTTAAAAAAAATCAGATATCAAATTGAAGATTTTTTCAAAAAAAAAATCCAAATTACCAAAATAAAAATTGTTTTTTACTAATGCAATAAAAAAAAACAATTTAATAGAAAAAATTAATTGATGCGATAAAAAATAAATACCAATAAAAATTAATCTTTTTATTGCATCAATAAATATTTGATATATTTTTTATTGGATCAATTAACTTTTTCTATTAAATTAATTTTTTTATTGCATTAGTAAAAAACAAATTTTATTTTGGTAATTTAGATTTTTTTTGAAAAAATCTTCAATTTGATATCTGAATTTTTTTAAGAAAAAAAACGAGATTTGGAATAAAAAATAGATTTTATTACCATAATTTAAAAAAAAYGAATTTTAGTTATTTTTCTATAATTATTTTTAATTTTAAATATGACATGAGATATTGGTTTTAAAATAAAAAATTAATATGACGTGGAATATTAGTTTTAAAATAAAAATTTAATATAATGTGGAATATATTAGTTGGCAAAAGATCTGGATGATGTCTGCATTAACATGTCAATGAGACCTTTAAATAAACAAAAAGTTTGATAAAGACCCCTAAATGACAATTTTGAAAATTGATTCCCCAAAACAGAATCAGGTAAAAATTGTTTCCATTTTAATGCAATTTTTCTTTTCATTAATTTTATTTAAAGTCTGGTACATGCGTTTACACCTGCGAAAGGAACACCTTTACCCACATAATAAATTGGACATAGAAATTAAAAATTAAAATAAAAGGATCTATTAAACCAGGACCAATTCCACATTCACGGATTAGAAAAAACACTACTTTTTGAGTGAAAAAGGTGAAAGACTAACCATAAAAGTGGTGTCCAATTGGTTTGATCTTGGGTTTCAAAAGTCAAAAGTATTTGAAGGTTTCAGGTTCGAATCTAAAAAGAAATAAAAATCTTATTGTAGTCACGGATGTTTAAATAATATGATTTCAGATTATCCGCAGAAGTGATGGTTGTTCTGAAATTAGTCGTCTTATATAACGGGTTGATTATCCAATTTAATAATAAAAAGTGAAGGATTAAAATAAATATATATAGGACCAATTTTTAATTTTCCTTCATTATTTTATTTGACTGAATGGAGGAAAGACTCGTGTCAACTGACAACCGCGTGGCCACAATTTCAATTTTTAATTTTATCGGGTTAAATTTAAGAAAAAAGGAAAATTAAAATTAAGAAAAAAAGTAAAAAGCATAAAATAATAATATACTTGTATAACTTTTTTTTTTAATTATATCAATTTGTATTTTTTAATTTTATTTATTACAATAATATATTTATAAATTAATTTTTATTAAAACATTGTTTTTGAAAACTTTAGCCGAGACATAATTTAACTGTCATGGACATAAGAATTGAGTATTCTCAAATATTTATATATATAAAAGAAAAAATTTGGGGTGTTGAGATGGTAACATAAGAATTGAGTATTCTCAAATGATGAATTGTTGTTGAATTTTAATTGTTCCACATTGGTGAAGAGTTGAAAAAAAAATCTTTTCGATCACCTTTAATTATATCAAAAATCCAATAATAATGTAAGATTTGAAAAAACGAAACTTTTGATGATGACACTTCAATATTATATAGGTTTTTTTTTTACGGGATTGTTACGTATACCTCTTTTAATGTCAAAATCAAGTCAATTTATGTATTAAGAATTTAAAAAGTGAGTTTTGATATTGATGCATATGAAAAGGAAACCATTAGATAAGGATGTATTTCATAATGTAGAAAGGTACAATTAACCTGAACTTTATTTTATATAAAAACTAGTTGTGTACCCGTGCAATGTAGCGGGAGCCATGAATTTTAACGATTTTAAAATTTCACTGGTTTTATTAAAGAAGATTTAACGATGATATAAGTTACATTTGGTCTTTACATATTAATACAATTTGAATAAATAAGAGTTATGGTTCCAATTACAGTCTATCGTTGAAAAAAATTGTATGACAATTTAAAATCCATATATTTAAAATCCAACATATTTAAACGACTTCACAAATGTGTTCGATTTACACCAAGAACAAAGAATTAAGAGATCGAGAGCGAAACCGAGAGTTCTATAGCAATTGAATTGGAGATGAATGAGAGAACTTTTAATAAGTCATGGTGCATATCAGTTTGAATCTCACCTTGAGGGATGGGAAGAAGACATAGAGGTATGAGAGGGTGAAGACATGAGTGAAATGTGTGAAAAGTATCTTGGGAACATAAAAAAATGTAATAATGTGCATTGGTAACTTGTACTATATGTTCTTTTAATTGTAGATTAATAGATTTTAAAACTAAATGCATAAAATTAGTAGTACTTAGTGCATTATGAGTTGTTTTTAAGACTTTTAAWACTTTGTACATAAATKTATAATACTTTGTGCATTAAAATTTGTTTTAAGAGTTTTGATAAATTTGGTTTATAAGGTAGTATAGATAATGATGGATGCAAAAACATGAAAAGTAGAGTAATAATTAATGAGGGATGGAAGTTCAAATGCAGTGACTCCGGATTACCCGCAAAGCAGGTGGTCATCTTAAGATTAGTCGGATTGCAAACGGGTTGAATATTCATTCGGTTTAATAATAAAAAAGAAAATTAATGATAGACAAGAACTATATAGTATGTACCGAGTCATATTTAATTACTACTTTAGTGCAAATGGTGGGAAGGAAGCTTCCGTTTTATGGCGTTGACAAGGTCTTCCCCATGGAGTCGTCCATAAATACCGGCGACACTCAACATTCTTCCTCATCCTTCCACAACCTTCTCTAAATCCTCTTACTCCAAAACACAGACTCAGATCAGCATCAAATTCATACATAGATATGGCCAAGGTACAAATCTCTTCACTCATTCAGTTCGATTCGCTTTCGCATTTTATATGAATCAGGTGGCTCTAATTTCCATAATCGATTGTTATCGCAGCAAAACATCGTTGTGAAGGTGGCCATGATCAACGACAAGAAAACTCGTAAGGCTCTGAAGATCGCCGTTGGTGTCTGCGGTAAGACATTTGAACGCTCCTCTCTCTAGTTTCTGGATTGGAGAAATCGTTTTTTTGATTAAATAATTCAACTAAGATCATAATCTGAAATTAATTGACAAACAGGCGTGGAATCAGCGGCCTTGATCGGTTCAGATAAAGATCAAATCAAGGTGACTGGGGAAGGAATCGACTCAGTCGAACTCGCGAGGCTGCTAAGGAAGGGCGTAGGATGCACAGAGCTGGTGAGTGTTGGTCCAGTTGAGGAGAAGAAACCCGCTGTCACTGCTGCTGCCGCCACTCAAACGCCAGCTAAGGTGGTGCCAGCTACGGTGGTGCCACTGCAAGTTTATCCTCACCATTATAGCTGCTATGGAGGGCCTTACTACCATGTCTATGAAAGTCCCTGCAACGACAATCCCTCCTGCACCATTATGTAAGATTGCATCAACTGAAATAGTGTAAATTGAGAGAAACCAAAACAGATTAAAGGCCGGCCTTTGGGGCTCATCGCTCGCTAYTTGAGTTTTTCGACGCCAATGAGGATTTCATGTGTATTATTTTCAAGGTCCCACGGAAGAGTTGATGTACGTGCAAGATGACCCAAACATCCCGTGTTTGATTTTGTATTGATAKTTTTCTTCATGTAATAATTGTTTATATACTGTTTTTTTTTAATAAAAATTTCGACCAGTTAAATTCATAGCAATTTGGCCCCTCAACTCTGTTAAGTTGTTAATATGATATAGAAATAATATGTGTTTTTTGGACCTTAGACCGTGTGGACTGGACCCTATTCTGTATCACATTTATTTGTGTCTATTTATCTTGGTTTGATTTATGTTTCTTGTTATTCAAGTTTTTATTTTTTCAATAACAAATATTCAAGTTAAGAGACTCGTAGAAGTAGTTACAAAATTTATAATTATGTACAACCATTCACAAGGAGAATTTTTTTTGAGAATCCATGAAATTGTAATAATTTTGAAAACTTATGTATCATGTGTTATTTCATATGATTTTTTCTCCATCTAARATTAGTATTTAAAATATAGATTAACATGTATTTCTTACGGATCTCTTAAATTTTGGAGTTGTCAAGTGGTTAAGAACATTTTCATGTATTTAAGAAGGCGTCCAATGGCAAAGAAGCCTTATCAATTAAACTCCCCCACAATCTATATATATATATATATATATATA